CAACAGTGTGCTTGCCCTGGTGTTGGGTACCAAGCCTGTGTTAACACAGTGGCAGACATCTTGGGGGGTGGGCATCCTCATATCACAGAGGAGACTGAGGCTCAGAGAAGTAGGCAGGGGACTTTCTCAAGGCTACATAGCCAGCGCCATTAAGGCAGGACTGGCCCTGGGATGCCCAGAGGGCTCTGTGCCCCTGCCCTGCACCAACTGCCTAGACTTCAGGGTATGGTATGCCAGCAGCAAGGACATTTCATTTCTGCTCTTCTGTCCATCTGCAATGACCTGAGCGAAGTCTACCCAGAGGGTAGGAGGGGTGTGCTTGTCCCATTTTACAGAGAGAGCTGAGGCTGAGAGGTGCCATGGTACCATTCAGGAATGTGCACGTTTTTGAAGGTCTCTAAGGGAGGATCCTAGGGACAGCTGTGCTGGGGAAGGGTTGAGTGGGGACACCACGGTGACACCCTCAGACTTCTCCAGCTGGGTAGGGCCTGGCTCTTGTCCCATCCTGGCCCCTCAGGCTCTTCTGGGAACGGCCTCTGCTGCTGCCCCCGCACCCCCTGCTCTGCCCCACCCTTCCAAAGCCCAGGAGCACCAGGGTAGATGTGCCCCTCTGTGCTGGCGCTGGAGGGGGACTGGTCCACATGGGGAAGATGAAGATGTGGGGGAGCATTACCAGGCCCTGTGACTGGCCTCTGGCCCTTCCTCTTTTTCAGAGCTCCTATGCTCATGCTGGCACCCCCACACCCCTCCCCAAACGGCCAGGCTGGGCACGAACTTGCCCAGGACCTCTGTCTCTGCACCTGTGCGGCCAGCCAGTGGCCGGCTGGGCTCTGTCCCCCAGATACAGCCTCCTCCCTACCCCCACCCTGAGCAGGAATGCGGGAGGGGCCCCTCTCTGGAGCCGTTGCCCCCAAACATAGGCTTGTTTTCGAGACGGCGTTGCTCCAATGTCCTCTCTGCATTAGTCAGGACGCCTCGGTCTCCATGGAAACGGTTGCTGGAGCAAGCGACAGCTGTCCCGGCGCCCCTCCACCCATCAGGCGGGGCCGCCTGGCGGAGGCTGGGCCTCGTCGTCTTGGCTCCGCCCCACATCTTCCGCACGGCGCCCTTCCTTGGCTTCGTCCTTTCCTGGTTTCTGTTTCTTCACCTGCAGCCCTTGGGGGCGTAGCTGGGACCCGTCCTCCGTGCTGGGGTGCAGGCCTAGGCCGCTCTGCAGTGACTGCCTAGACTTCAGGGCCAGATGTGCCAGCAGCAAGAGCGTTTAATTTGTGCTCTTCTGTCCATCTGCAAATGACCTGAGGGAGGCGTACCCAGAGGGTAGGAGGGGTGTGCTTGTCTCATTTAACAGAGAGAGCTGAGGCCTCCGGCTCGTTCGCTTTCTGGGGCTGGGTCGGACGCTCCCAGGGTCGCTGTGAGGATCAGCAATTTCACAAGACACAGCTCACCCATAAGCCTGCTCCCGATTCCCCACCACCTACTGCCTTCCGTTTAGGGGTAGGGGTGGAGGAGACCGGGGCACGCTCCTCCCGCATACCAGCGTTCACCCTCTGTAAGGATGAAAGGTGCCCCCAGGCTCACAGGCTGGGGTGCACACTCGGGCCTGTGAATAGCTGCTCACCTCCCAGCCAGGGGAAAAATTTGGTTCAGAGGCTGGAGCTCTGGGAGGGGCCAGAAGCAGGAGAGGGCAGCTCTGAGCCCCTCTTCCCCACCTCCCACCTCTGCCCAGCGCAGTTCTAGACTGGGAGTATTGGTCCATGGGGTTGGGGAATTCCTGGAGGAAGTGGGGTTTCACTAGATAAAAGGAGGATTGCGGGGATGGGTAAGGTCAGCAATGGATATTTTGAGCCTCAGATCTTTTAAGCAGAGGGGTTTAGGAATACAGCCCTAGTCCTTTGTGCCCAGACCTCACACAGAGGCCAGGGAGGGTCATGCCAGGGACTGGATGGGCTCAGGGACCAGGAGGCCCTGGATGCACACGTGGCCTCCCGGCCTCCCTGACCCCCACCTTCCCCAGGAGATGGAGTTCTACGTGCGGACTTTCAGCCATGTGCGCCGGGAGCCCCCTGGTCAGGCCAGGCCCACAGCAGTGAATGTCGAGTGAGTGCGGCCTGGGCCTCTCCCATTAGCGTGTCAGGGCCGTACAAGGTGGGAAAGAGGACGGTCCAACGCATGGGTCTGGGTCCATCCACTTTCTGTCTGTCTGCTAGGGAGGCAGGCTTGTGTCAGGACCACCAGCGGGGAGGGGTTGGGGGAACCACCGCAACTACCTCTTACTCTCCGGCTTCCTCCTCAGCCCCTCCCAATTCTTTGCCACCCGCGGCCAAGCGGAGCCTGCACCGCCCTCGTCGCCCGAGGCTCTTGCGTTGCCCCCCCGGATCCGACCTCAGGTAGGAGGGACAGTGCTGAGCCCCCTATGCAGATGGAGGGGAGCGGGAAAGAAACCTGTACCCTGCTCCCCCACTCCGCTGCAGCTTTTTGGCGTTATGGGGTCCTGGGTAAGTGTCGCCCAGTCTCCCCTGTGTCTCCGCAGAAAAAGAGGAAGCGGCGCGTTTATAAAGTGCCAACTTCTGGGACCCTGGACCCGACACCCCCGCGGCCCAGGCTGCCCGGTGAGTGTCCCTTCCTGTCCAGATCCTGCTCCAGGCGCTCCATGGAGGGAAAGGTGGGGCCCCGAGCGAGTCGCAGCCCCGGTCTCACGTTCCCCTCGATCCCCGCAGGGTCCCGGGCTTCGGGCCACCGCTCCAGCTCTTCGTCGGATTCCGCTGGCGCCAGCCCGGTGCATGCCGGTGGTCCTGCGGGCGCCTACCATTCGGCTTCGGCCGAGTCCATGGACGAGATTCTGGTGGCGCAGACGCACCTGGGCAGCGCCGCCCTGGCCGCCCCCGGGAGCAAGGTCCGAGAGCTGGGGCTGGGGCTGGCGCTGCAGGCCCGAGTGCCCGCGGTTTTCGTGAGTCCTAGCAGCGGCGAGCCCGGGGCGCCCGGCGGCCCGGAAACCGGCCTAGCTTAACCCACCCGAGAGGCAAGAGGGCCGAGGGGGAGCGGCCGGCTCAACTCTATGCAACAGCCCACCCTCGCGCACCGAGTGCACTTTAGGGGCCCCTAAGGCCGGCGGGGCCCCCCTTCGCCTACTCAGCAATACCCTTGCCCCCCCCCCCACCTGCCATGATGCTTCAATAAATTTTTTTATGCTTTTGCGGACTAGTCCTTACTTTCTTATGGCGAATGCCATGGGCCCTCGGGGAACCCGACCGTCTCCAGTGGACCCTTGTACAATGGGAGGTTACCCAGGTTGTCGTACGGAGGCGCACGAGGAACCAAGGCGCTCAGGGGCAGGACTTCTGACTAGGAAAGGTCTTGGAAGGCTACTTGGAAGAGGATATTTTTCTTGAAGATAGGATTTACTCTTGGAGAGGGGGCAAAGAGGAAAGCAGCCTTTAGGCTCCAGAGGCAGCAGAAGCAGCAGAGGCTGCGAGGCCGGAATCAAGAGGGGTGGGAATGACGGGAAGGCACCGACCCTCGAGGTCCAGGAGCTTTTTTTCTGGCAACGGGAATGCTGTCGGGTACTAGGACTCTGGGGCTAGGCATGCATGATTTGCTCATTGTCCCTTCCCTGACCCCAGTGCTCCGAACGCTGGACCCTACCCAGAGAACGCTGGAGTTGTGGCCTGGAGATACCACACGTTCAGCTGAGAACTGTTTTCTAGAGTCAGCTCCAGACCCCAGGCACGTAGGGAAGGAACCTTCCCACCACGCCCTCGCCCCAGTTCTCAACTGGCCTTTGGTTGGATCGCCCCTGGAGGTGGGGGCTCGTTTTGAACTTTGCGCTGAACCCAGGTCAGGGGGCTATTGGAAGACCTCTTCCCCAGTCGGGAGGGCACCCGAGCTGCCCCAGAGTGGTGGGATGAGGCTGCAGGAGCAGCTCCGCCCTGGCGGAACCCAGAGCGCGGGGTGGGCGGGGACTTGTGGGCGGGGCCAGCGTGACCTTGGTCACTCTCCCGCCGAGACAGCCCCGGGGGTGGGACTCGCTGTCTCTATGGAGACGGAGAAACAGGGGATAATACGGCGGAGCCGCCCGGGCTGCAGTCCCGCCCCGGAGCCGGCAGGGAGCAGAACTGCGGAGCCGCCTTGTCTCACGCGTCTGTCGGTCAGTTCTTGCGTCCTTCTGTCCATCCGAACGCGCACTGCAGGAGCAGCCACGAGGTAGAAGCCGGTATGAGACCCCGGCGCTGACTACCCTAATCAGTACCCTGCATGATAAGGGAGTGGGGGAGGAGCGGCCTGGGAGGGTCCCAACCCCGATGATACCGAGCAGGGGACGCCAGCTGAGCGGCGCTGCCCAGGCCTCAGCGTTCCCCCCAACCCCCACCCTCACCTCCTTGCCTGGCTGATTGAAGACTCCAGCTGTCTCGACGGGAGCGAGCAGGTGGCCCTAGTCCACGGGCGTGGCCGCTCCATCCATGGCCTGCAGACCCCTGGGAGGACAGTCTACGACCTGGCTCCACCTGATCAGCCCCAAGAGTACCAAGACTCCATCTTCCCACAGAGAGGAGCACTAGACCAGGACCCTCCCAGTCCCGTGGGACATGCATCCTGTGTTCCTAAGCTCCCTAGACAAACCAAATGCTGTGCTCCGGGTCCCTGGTGGGAGGTTGCAGCACAGGCAGGAGAGGGAAGGGGAGTACAGTGCAGACTGGGGTTGTGGTCCCACAGAGCTCACTGTACTGGAGGAGCTATGGATGCTCACAGACCCAGAAATAGCAACTTAGGGACGAGTTTGTGTGGTCACTGGGGGAGGTGTTTTCAGTGTTGGGCCAGTGGTAGTGGAAGAGGGGGTAGCAGGGCAGGGCCCCAGGCCATGGACACTAGCGGCTCTAGGATAAAAGGCAGAGGTAGAAGATGGTTACTGAGGGGTCTGCAGGGCAGGACTGAGGTGTGGTCAGGCAGCTGCAGTGGAGGAAGTGGGTGTGGGCAGGGGTGTTTCAACCCAGTGGATCTCAGCATAGTACCTGGGAGTCTGGAAATGCAAGCCTGTGGGTGTGGTCACTGGTGGCTCAGTGTGGGGCTGAGAGTGTGGTCAGAGGGTCTCAACACAGCGCTGTGGGTGTTGGACAAAGGTGGGTTTTCTGAGGGTGTGGTCAGGGCTGCGGGTATGTGGAGAGAGAGTTATTGAGGCGATAGTTAAGGGTCCCAGTAAGGGCTGCAGGTGTGTGGACAGGGTGTCTGTCATAGGGCTGTGGGGTGTGGATGGAGGGTGCTGCAGTGTGGGGCTGAGGGTGTGGTCAGGGAGGTCTCAGTACAAGGCTACAGTATGTAGAGGAGAGTTTGCAGTGCAGAGCTGAGGGTGTGGCCAGGGGACTGCAGTGGGGCTGTGAGTGGGTATGGAGAGATACTTTAGTGCAGGGCTAAGGGTATTACTGGGGGGCCTCAGGTCAGGTGTAGAATAGATGTGGAGGGCATGGTCAGGGGCCCTCAGTCACAGGGCTGTGGAAGTGTGGATGGAGGACACTGCAGCATGGGCTAAGGGTGTGGCCAGGGGCCTGCAGTGGAGAGCTGTGGGGGTGTAGAGGCTGCACTTTAGCTGTGAGGGTGTGGTCAGAGGGCTTCGGTACCAGGTTAAGGGCGTGGTCAGAGGGTGCAAGTCGAGGGTGTGGAGGACCAGCGCTGAGTGCGTGTGGGTGCAGTGCAGGGCTGTGGGAGTGTGCCCTGGCATAGCGGTACTCAGGTATGGTCAGGGGGCCTCAACAAAGGTGTGAACACTGGGGAAGGCTGCTTCAATGCAGGGCGTAGGTGTGAGGATGACAGCACCAAGGCACAGTCCCACTCTCCAACATACCTCTTGGGGGCTGGTAATTCTACAGCCCTTACCCAGGGTAGCCCCCCAGTCTTCTTCTCCTCCTAAACTCCACAGACCAGGTTACAGCCCCAATGGGTGGCAAGGGACCAGGAAGCCACGGTTGTGCCCCAGGCACTGGGAGTGCTGGCTTGCCCCACCCGTGGGCCCCTGTTCCCCAGCCCAGCCCAGCCCAGCCCAACAGCACTGGGAGCTTCTCCCTGAGCCACCCTGACACCATCCTGCCCTTAGCAACGTTCTCCAAGCAGCACCACCCTCCCTTAGCAACTGTCTCCAGGCTTCACAAACTGTGGCCAGGCCAGCCCCAAGCTCCGGCTCCCCTCATGTTTTTGTTTAACAGCAAATAGTAACAAGGTCCCGGCTGGGCCAGCTGCACCTCTGCCTAGGGCACGCACCCCAACCCAGGCTCTGGCTCCCTTCTCAGGCCTGGGCTGGGTCTTGCTGGGTCCTCGTGACCTTACAGAGACACTGTCCTGACTAAATACCTGCCCAACCAGCAGCCTGACCCTGACCCAGCTCAGCATGGAGCTCCCTGGTTGGGGGTGGGGGGGACACCCTGCCTCCCTCACTTCCACCCATGCAGGCCTTGTGCCAAGGCCAGACAAAGCCATGGCCCCAACTGCTTCCCTCACAATCTTTCTGAACAGTATCACTCTGTTCCCAGCCTGGTGTGGGCATCATGATTTCATCTTCTAACCCTACTCAGAGCCAGGGCTGGCACTAAGCAATAGGACGTTTCCTTTTGGTGCTCTTCCTAACCCCCTCTTAGGCCCTGGGGCCCAGGGTGACACTGCCTGCTGGCCCTTCTACCCAGGTCGCTTGAACTCTGAGGGTTTGTAGCAGAAGTGCCTGCAATTCAGTTTCTGTAGTAGAGACAGGAATGTTCTGTGCCTTGGGGAGGGGAGAGGCAGCTTGGTTGGGAGGTGACTAAGGTGGGTCCCTACAGGGTGGCATGGCAGTGAGCACAGACGTGGCTGGGCTGGAGGAGAGCTTCCGCAAGTTTGCCATCCATGGCGACCCCAAGGCCAGTGGGCAAGAGATGAACGGCAAGAACTGGGCCAAGCTGTGCAAGGACTGCAAAGTAGCTGATGGGAAGGCCGTGACAGGGACGGATGTCGACATTGTCTTCTCCAAAGTCAAGTGAGCCCCAGGCAGCCTCTGCTTCTGATGTCCCCAGAAGGTGGGGAGTTGGGAGGCTGGAGCCAGGGAGGACACAGAGAAGGGGAAAACTCATGATGCCCACACACCTGGCAGGGGGAAGTCAGCTCGGGTCATCAACTATGAGGAGTTCAAGAAGGCCCTAGAAGAGCTGGCCACCAAGCGATTCAAAGGAAAGAGCAAAGAGGAAGCCTTCGATGCCATCTGTCAACTGGTAGCAGGCAAGGAACCAGCCAACGTGGGTGTCACTGTAAGTGCTCTCCTGGTCTAGGGTGGCCCCTGAGGGGGATGTGGAGAATCTCAGCGGGTGGTGGGAAGGGCGGGGCTCCCTCACTAGGTGCCCCTGGTGGAACCCTGTCCCAACAGAAAGCAAAAACAGGGGGTGCTGTGGAGCGGCTGACTGATACCAGCAAGTATACAGGCTCCCACAAGGAGCGCTTTGATGAGAGTGGCAAGGGCAAGGGCATTGCTGGACGGCAGGACATCTTGGATGACAGTGGCTACGTGAGTGCCTACAAGAATGCAGGCACCTATGATGCTAAGGTGAAGAAGTGAAGCCTGAGAAGGCCCCCCAGCACGGCTGCCCCTGCCAGAGGCTCAGTCCTGGGCCTAAGGGGCACGTAGAGCAAGAGAGCTGGTCCCCTACCTGCCAGACCAGCCACTCAGAGCTACTCAGCCCACCAGGCCTCTGACCCAGACTGCTATGCACCCTCTTCCTCCTCTTTTTCCTCCACCCCCCCCTCCCCACCCTACAACTTCTGTCCCTCTGGGGATAGTCTGTGCCTATAACCTCACCACCCCAACCTAGCCCCAAGCATGGCTAACCCTTGCCTGCTTGACTTGTATTTTAAGCTGCTGCTCTGGCCAAGTGCCTAATTCTTCCCCAGACCTCAATAAAGACACCTTTTGTACCAATATGGCCTGATTGGGTATATGACAATGAGGGTAGTGACGTGTATACCCTAGAGACCCCTGAGTAACAGCACCCCCATGTGCCATACCCTGCTGATCTCTCTCTTCCACTGGCAGCCCTGCACAAAAAGAGACAATACTCGTCCCTTCCATTAGCACGGAGCCAGACTGCCCAAAGATGCTCCTTAGGGAACCCAGAGCCTTTTAACTCAGCCCTGATCCAGAGTCCTAACATCATATCTTACCTTCCCGCCATTAGGCCCCTCTCCTCTCCGATAGCAGGCAGAGGGATGAGACAGCAGACTTGGCCTGGGCCAAGCCTTGGCAGGGGCCCCAGTGCCAGGCCTTGGCTCTCAGCCTTCTGACAGGCCCCCAATTCAGGCGACTACCAAGGCAAGTCATCTTGGGCTCCAGCTCAGAAAATCAGAGAATGCAGGGCCAGGGAGAAGCTTAGAGGGTAGACGGTCCCATTCCCTAATTTTATAAATGAAGAGACGGCTTCTGCAGAATCGAGGCCAAAACTGTACCTCTGTCTCCCAGGCCAGGCTTCTTCTAGCACAGAAGTCCCCAACACTGATTTCCAAAAGTGGGGCTAGGTGGCTAGTGATGGAGCCTGGCACCCAATGCCAACCTTTGGCAGGTGGGTAGGGTGTTCATCAGTGAAGGGATCCCCTTCCAGCTGTTCAACATCCCAGGTTTAGTGGGGAGGATGATCTCTCTGGTCCTTAGGACTCCTGGGCATTTGTAGAACAAGCTTTCACCCCTCTGAGGAGCTAGGTGTTAGGTCAGAGCTATTCTCACGCCTAAGGCTTTGGGGCCAACTCTCCTTACTTCTTGCTGTGACAGGGGGCTGGATGGGCTTTAGGGCCTGCCCTGGTGATGGCAGCTCCCATGGGTGCTAGAAGAGGCTTGGAAGGCACATGTTCACAAATACTCAGCTCCTTTCCTGACCCAGATAACAAGGCAAAGCAGCACAACTGTTTGTTCACTCAGTCCACAGGCTGTCCTTCTGGGATGTTCCTGCCCCAGGGGGCTCCTGAATCCAACTTCACGTGGGGGTGGGGGTGTATAGGGATAGTGTGGCTCAGGACAGGGATTCTGGGGAGGTGAGGTGGGAATTCTAGGGAGGCAGATAAATACCCTGGCCACAGCAGAGCCCTGCTGTCCCATGGACAGCTGTGGGACCCTTATACGTGACTCCTCCTCACTCAGCTGACCATGTTCCTTGTACTGCTCAGGAAAGAGTTTCAGAGAGTTCTACTTTCCCACCAGCAAATATTAAGAGGAATGATTTTTCTAGGCTTGGGGAATCTGTTTGAATTGCAAGATTTACTTAAATAAGCATAACAGGGGTGAAACCCAAATTCTCTGGCTTTCACTTTCTGAAATACCTCATAGTGAAAAGAATTTAACTGCATTCCAAACTGGGCCAGGCTTCCAGCTACAGGTGAGCAAACCATCCAGTGCGTAGAGGTAGGAGCAGCTGGCCATTCCCATGACTACTAGTGTGGCTTAGACGAACCCAGAGCGAGAACTGGCTGAGTTCCAAAGCTCTACCTTGTAGGAGTAAAGCCCCCCTTTCTTCTTGAAAAAAAGCCCTGGTGGCGAAGTGATTAAGCGCTTGGCTGATAACCTCAAGGTCAACAGTTCGAACACAAGTTCTCTCCACGAGAGAAAGATGTGGCAGTCTGCTTCCATAAAGATTTACGGCCTTGGAAACCCTATGGGGCAGCTCTACTTTGTCCTGTAGGGTTGTAATGAGTCGGAATCAACTCGACGACAATGAGTTTGGATTTTTTTTTTGTGGGGGGGGTCTTCTTGAAAAGTAGTTTTGGTGCCTGAGGGAAATCAAGGCCCACCCAGAGCCAGAAAGACCCTTAAAGACCGAATGGGTCTAGCAGACTCTGGCAAATGGCAGCAGCTGATCAAACAATGCCACTTCAGCCCCTATTATCACTGTTCCATCCTCCACGGCCTCACCATGGGGTGAAGCTTTGGGAACCTTGCTAGCAAAGCCAGGCTGGACAAGAAAGAGAGGTGAGTATCTGTGGGATAGAGCTATTCAAAAGCTTCTATGTCCAGCAGGGGAAAGTCCAAACCTGTCAGAATGGCCCTACCCCTCTCGTTTGGGCACAGAACTTCCCTGAAGACCCAGTCTCCATCCCAGACGTGTTTTCTTTCTCCCAGTTGTGTTAGGCCTAAGGTGAGGAATTCCTCTCCACTTGTTTTCTACTTGTTTCAGGGGCCTCCCCCTCCCTGTGGGGAGCCACTCAGCCCCACAGTACAACTGTTTGGCTCTTGCTGACACCCCAACCTCTACCCCTGCCCCCTGGACCACGTGCCTGCCCACACAGAGAAAATCAGAAACACAGTCGACTTCCCCAGGAGTGGCCAGCAACCTTAGAGAGGCGCCTGGCCTGGGGACCCCTTTCAGTGACAACAGAAAAAGGGGTGAAGAAGGCTCAGTCTGCGTCAGGCTCTTTTGTTCGTCCTTAGAGGCGCCCTGAACAGATGTCCACAGGGGGATGAAGGATGAACTGAGGGTGTAGAGGGAAGTGGCTTATTTTCTCCGACAGTCTGTCCAGTAGGTTGGCCTGCGCACTGGGCTAAACCAAACCAAACCCACTGCCGTCGAGTCGATCCCGACTCATAATGACCCTATAGGACAGAATAGAACTGCCCCATAGGGCTTCCAAGGCGGTAATGTTTACGGAAGCAGCCTGTCACATCCTTCTCCCACAGAGCGGCTGGTGGGTTCCAACCACTGACTTTTCGGTTAGCAGCCAAGCCCTTAACCACTGCGCCACAAGGGCTCCTCATGCACTGGGCTGGGACTCCGAAACATGACAACTTAGGGCTTCAAGGTCACAGGCCAAGGCTCCCTTACCTGGGCAAAGCGTAGGCTCTTTGGAAGCCTCTCAATGGGGTAAAAACAGGCCCAGGAGAGTGGTGGTGGGATGAGAGAGCGGGGTGCTCTTCTTGCTGACAGTCCCACTGAGCGTGAGCTCACTCTAGCTCCCTCAGAGCCATGCAGCTCAAAGAAACATACGGCTCCTCTGTACGTGCTCCTTTCAGAAAGCCAAGGGACCTTCCTCTCCACATAAAATCCAGAGGTCTGTGGGTTTTATTCATAACTTAGAAGTAGGTGATCTTGGTTGTATCTCCAAGTCTCATTATCATGGCAATAGCTCTCCTTCCCTGCACAGCACCTGAGTCAGGGGAACAAATAAGTGTCTAACCCTTCCACCTGTCTCTTTCTCTGATGTGCCTCGGAAGATGAGAAGAAGCACAACGTGGCATCAGGCTGACAGTCCCTTGCCCCCCTACACACTCTCTGGCAACAGTCACTACTTGGGAAACATACCTAGAACTTTTATTATTTTTCCCACTGCTTTTTAAAATACCCAGCCAAGACTAAAAGAAAATTGTGCCTTATGATTGTCCCTGAAGTACAGGGTACTTATATGTAACATAAAGAGCCTTGGTGGCTCAATGGTTAAGTACTCAGCTGCTAGGTGAAAGGTTGGTGGTTTGAACCCACCCAGTGGCTCCGTGGGAGAAAGACTTGTTGCTCTGTTCCTGTAAAGATTATAACCTAGAAAACCCAATGGGACAGTTCTACTCTGTCACGTGGGGTAGCTATGAGTTGAAAATGGATGCTGAGCCCAAAGCTAACATCTTCAGAAGTTGCATTTCTAGCCTGAACTGCGCCAGCCTCCTTTCTGGGTCCTCTAGCTCCTCTTTGTTCTCTCCCACCCCCCACCCAATCCCCTTTTCTTACAGAGGAATCTTCACAAACAAATCTGTCACCCCTCTGCCTTCCCAGTCTAAAATCTTCAAGAAGCCATGTGACCTGAATGGAGCCTGTTCCTTCTCATCTCAGGGCTTTTGCCTTTAACCTCCTGTTCTTCTCAGGTCTCAGTTGAAAGATCACTTCCTCAGGGAATGTTTTTCTGACACCAGGCTCCCCTGTTACATACCCTTATGGTACCATATACCATTCCTTTTTAGGATTTACCATAATCATAATTAATTATGTACATTTTGTTCAACACCGGTCTTCCCAATTAGTCAACACCCCCAGAGGCTAGACCAATGCCTGAATAAATGAATGTATGAATGAATATATTGCTTGCCAGTTAGATTGTCTCTCCCCCTCCCCCATCTCAGTCAACAGGCCACTGACACCCCTCAGAAGTGCTCCACTTGCTGAGTACCCAGCACCTACTAATGGCACTGTCACCTATCCAGGTCCAGTGCACAAAACCTTGGGCCACTCATCGCATACTACTAATCACCAAGTTCTGGTGATCCATCCTGCAAAATAGTTCTCAATCCCATCCTGTCTGTCTACTTCTCATCTCTTTCCTGGGTACACTGCCACTGTGTCTCCCCTGCCAGTCTATCCTCCACAGATACTGGCTACTGAGCTAGAATTTAGATCAGGTCCCACACCTTCTGGCTGTACCATGACCCCTCTGGGAGGTCCAGGCTCTTGTGCTTTGCACCCTTGGCCTGGGAGGCTCTGCATCCCGTCCATCTGCTAACATTCTACTCTTCTGACCAGCTTCCACTCAAACAACAAGTCTTCTTTGAAGCCTTCTCCAATTCTCCATAGTAGAAACTACTTTCCCCTTCTCTGGAGCACCTTTAGGCTTTTGTTTAGCCCTGTTTGGTACCTATTATAAGCTTTGAGCTCCATCACTTGTGGAGCTTTGTGCTTTTCTCCCTGACTAAATTGTTGGCTGCTCCAAGGCAGACACTGAACTTTGTCACATTTTCACTAAAGTGGAAGGAAACTCAAAACATGTTTGATGAATGAGTAAATATGAATTCTCTAGCATTATTCTTCTAACACAAAAGACACCATGGATGCTCTTTTTTAACCTTCTACTACACAGTTTCACATGACTCTGGAGAAAAAGGTCTAGTGTTTGTTTATTTTTTCCTTTTCAACATTTTCAGCCAAATGTTTCTCTGTGATATAATGCCTAGGACCAAGT